CCCCAAAACCCCAAAACCCCAAAACCCCAAAACCCCAAAACCCCTTGAAACCAAGATATTAAAATTAATGATGAAAATTAGCTAAATTTAAAATAAATATAAATCAATGAATAATCGAAAAAACAGCGATAAGAGCTTTATGTAAGCCTCCGATTATGTTTAGATTTTTAGGGATTCCTTTTTGCAATTATTTATGTGCTGTAACACTGATAGATACCGTAGTTAGCAAAATGAATACCTGTTTAATGATATGAGTTATGATGAAGCTGGAGTACGCAGAAGACAAGAATCTTATTCTACTGCCACTGTTGCTGTTAGGGTAATCATATAACCAGACTAATAAATTACTTCAGCATCGTTCTCGCAGCAAAAATGAGTCCTGGCATCATAAGACGTCCAATGTTTAGAGTTTCTCAGCTTAAACCGACATTAATGGAATCAATAGAGATGGAAAAACTAAAAAGCAGAGTGAATACATAGACCAGTAAGGTTCAAATTATCTCCAATCGTCTCAAAACAATCAACCTTAAAAATCAGAATATTCAAATTACACAATTCACAAAAGTGGCCAGAAATTTGAGTGGGACAATTAAACTGCTATGCCTAACTAGTTTGAGTTGCCCGGCTATTAAGAGCATGTCAAGTATTCCTCTTTCAGAAACAATTCAATTAAAATGTAAGCCTACTCATCTGTTGACTAATTTTTACTTATGTTTTAATAGGAACAATAATAATAACAGCACTGGAAATCACTAAAATAACTCAGGAAGTCTGGTTGGTTCAAACAATTTCTTCAATTAAACTACCAAGTCTTCCCTCAACTAATTGACTCAAAATTAATTGCATTATGGCAGCACTTTCGATGTCATTCCTGAAACTCCAGAAAACTATAAACTAGAGTAAGCGTTGAGTAATGGAAGCCAATTAGACCTGGACGCAATCTGATTTATTCTGGTGTGAAAAGCATGCTTTTTTAATCGCTAAGAATGCTTATGATTTGAATGATAAATTCTACCTACCAACTATACCCTAATTTCATATGGAACAATAATAACATATACTATATAGAGACTAAAGCAATCGCTTTACTTTTATATTAAACTTTAATTATGTTAATTGTTTAAAAATATCAATGATCAATTATCAATCATAACTTCGTGTGATGCATAGGTATAATTTGCTAGGCTTAGGAATAGCTCAAACAAGATTGTTAACATGCTTGATTGTTTGAGTTGCTGAGACCTCAGCTCTCAATTATTGGTTTTACAAGATCAATTAGGCAATCTACTCTTGAGTGAGTTACATAGGAGGAAGAGTGATGGGGTTTTGCTATTACACTTGAACTTAAGGTTGTTATTCTTGTAATTGAGCTTTTTTCTTGTTGATCAAGTCCATAATGGAGACTGGGTCATTTACTAGGTACTGAGAATTCTAGGTTCCAACTGGTGGCATTGAGAAAGTTTGCTATTGAAGAAGTGGGGGTGAGTAGTTTTCCTCTGATACTTCACTTACAGGCTGAATGTGAGAATCAATAATTTCAGAAGCAGCTTGATGTTAGTTTGGTGAAGCAACACTGCTCAGGATTATCTTTGCTTGCTCTGGGGTAACAACTATAGCATTGCTATTGCTGTTAAGGCCGTTGAGGTAGGAGAACTTGTTAAGAGCCTTTTGGAATTTCATTATTTGGTATTAAAGACCAGCAACTAGAGCAATGATTAGAACAGATGATAATCCAGATAAAACCTTAACCTTGAATGGTGACATACCCTTCATTACCTTTTTGTGCTCTTTTTGTGGTTTCTCTTGAGCTAGAGTTTAGGCTGGCTTAAATTCAACAACTTCAACTGGGGAAGCTTCAAGCTTGTGATGTTTCTATGGAATCATTTTTTCTTTTTTACCATGAGGAAGATCTTTTTGTTTGTGATCCTTGAATTTATGGTCTCTTTTGTTTTTGTTATCTTGATCAAAGAAATTCTTGAAGAATCCAAAACCACCCTTCTTGTGCTTTTTGTTATGAGCATTGAAACCTGGCATCATGCTAGTTTCCCAATCATCAGCATCCTCTTAATCCCATGGATAGTCATCATCTTCTTCATCATCATCCTCTGATTCTTCAACTTCTGAGTTAGATTATTTAGTTTTGTTTTCCATCTCTTCTTAGAATTTTTCCATTCTCTTGTTAAGTTCCTCGAATTACTTGTCAAAGTTTTGCATTTCCTCTTAGAACTTATCCCATTCTGAATCTAACTTTTCCATTTCATGATCGAGAACTTCAATTTTTTCATCTAATTTCTTCTCAATTTCCTACTTCTTGTTCTCGTGATGCTTCTTCTCATTTCTGTGTTTCTTGTCCTTTCTATCCTTCTTACCTCTCTTATTAGGGTGAACCTTTTTCTTAGGTTCTTCTTCTGTAGCATTGAAGAATTCTTCTGGAACTGGGTCAACTTGAGGCTTAATTATCTCCCATAGGTATTCGTCAATACTGAATGGGTCTGTTGAATTTGAAGTAGTAGTTTAGTCTACATACTTTTGCTCATCCTCATGACCTTCATCATGCTGTTCGTCTTCATCTTCATTCTCATTTTCAGTAATTGGTTCTGTGGTATTAGACTCAGATTTATTCAAGTTGGCAAAGTCAAGAATTTTTTCAACAAAGGATTTAATTGAAAGATTTCTTGATGGTCTTTTAGTTTCACCGTTTTCAATATCGTCTTTAATTTTTTCATAAGAATCTCTGGCGTACTCCTAAACATCATCAGCTTTCTCAATAACTGAATGGGAAGCATCCTTAATAGTGTCATAGGCATCTGAAGAGAACTCTTTGCCAGTTTCATAAATACCATTGACGTCCTTTTCAACTTTATTAATAACATCTTGATTTTAATCGACGTAGGTATGGACGTTATCAATTACGATATCAGCTTTATCTTTGGCGCTATCTAGGGTGTTGTCAATATATTTTTCAACCTCATCGAAATCCCAGTTCTTGGTATCAGCGATTTCATCCCAGTCAATACTCTTAAGATTTTTAAGTCCCCAGAGATTTCTTTGTTTGCTGCCAGCAGCTGCGTTTGAACTCTTTTTAAGGGTTTAAACGCTGTTAAACTCTTGTCTCATTTTGAATAAACTAATAATACCAATGAAGGCAATGATAATCAAGCCTTTCTTTGAAGTTGCTTGAACAACTTAAACGTTTAAGGTCTATGAAGCTTTGTAACTCATGAAACATTTAACACAGATGGCAGCCCAGATGAAGCAAGCAAGAATGGAGGAGAACTTGGCAGCGTTAGCATCGAAGCTAGCCTCAACTTTACCGGATCTTGCCTAGTGTTTAGCCATTCTTTAAAATCCAGCTATCGAAAATAGATTTATAACGAGGAATACAGCACTAATGCATCCTAAGACAGCTGAGTATTTTTTGAGGGTGTTTTGAATTCCTTCAAAAGAGACTCTAGCTTCTTGCAGTTTTCTGACGAAGACTGGGTGATCTGAGGCTTTTTATAATTAGTCTTAGTTAGTAGAAATTGAAGAATCGGTAGAAATTAAATTTTTATTTTCCTCTTCCTCAATCTTTGAGATTTACTTAGTTTCCTTTTCAGCACTAAATAAATGTTATAATCAATTACAAATCATTACCTCTGATATAGAGAGAATTATGGGTAAACCATGTAATTTGGTTTCATTTGGATATCCGAATGACTATTGCCGTAATTCATATTTATTATAATTTATCAAAAATACTATAGCCAAACTATTCTGATCTATGGGGTTTTGGGGTTTTGGGGTTTTGGGG